TGAGGTTGGTCATGTGGGGACTGGGCACAGCCACCGCTTCCAGGCCAGCTGTCTTCTGTGGGCTGCCTCCAGTTTTCCTTTTTGAAGCAACAATTATTTCCACATGTGTCATGATATGAAAAAGTTTAGGAAGTACTGGTTTAAGCCAGACCTGCTTTGATCATCACTCAAAAGATTAAAAATATGTAGGGGTAACAGAATCAGTACAACAGAATTTCTTTAAAATGCTGGTATAGAAAAAAGCACTAACAGCCATGGTATAGGTCTATACTATTGATTTCTAATATTCTTTTAATTAATTATTTTGGGGGAGAGAAAGATAGAGAGACATTGATTTGTTGTTCCACTGATTTATGCATTCATTGTATGTGCCCTGACTAGGGATCGAACCCACAACCTTGGCATATCAGAACGATGCTGTAACCAACAGTTACCAGGCCAGGGCTCTAACTTTTTTTTTTTCTGTCTGCACTCCCTCTGTCATGCCCCACTTAGGAAATCTTAAGGTGTATTCCAACAACCCTCAATAAAGTAACCTCCAAATATAAATGTTAGCTCACTGGCATAAGTTTAAATTCTGGGGTAAAGAGCAATCATGGTTCTCTATGCCAATGCTAAATGTACTCAAGATAAGTCTGAAATAAATTCCACTTGTTAAGAAAGAGAATTACTTAAATGTTAGTGGAAAAACTTTATAGAATGAAGCTTAGAGCTATAAGGATCTCCTTTTAAAAGACAAAAAACTGAAGTCCCAATTATTTAAGCTCACAAGCAGCTGAACTGGTGCCAATTCCCAGATCTCTGGCTCCCAAGAGTACTTTTTATTTTTATTTTTTTAGTGATATACTAGAGGCCCAGTGCACGAAATTTGTGCACTGGTAGGGTCTCTAGTAGCTGCTGGCTGGGGCCTCCGTCCCTTCTTCTGACCAGCCCGCCCCCTGGTCGAACTCCTGGAAGAACTCTGGTTGAGGGGACAATCTGCATGCTATGCTTTTATTATATAGAATTTTTATTGATTTCAGAGAGAAAGGGAGATAGAAAAATCAATGATGAGAGAGAATCATTGATCTGCTGCCTCCTGCACGCCCAGTCCTGGGGATTGAGCCTGCAACCCGGGCATGTGCCCTGACTGGGAATCAGATGGTGACCTCCTGGTTCAAAGGTGAACGTTCAACAGAGCCACACCAGCTGGGCCCAACAAATGCACGTTCTAGGACACCTCCAGAGCTCCCGCTAATTGCTTCTTTGACTCTCTCTAAAACCATAAAACAATGTCCAAGTACTTCCTGCTCCTTAGGGGAAACTGAATTGCTGGTTAATATGCAACTAGCAAATCAATGTTTGAGAAGCCAGCATTTAAACCTTATGCCACTAATTACTTAAATTTGTGGTATTTAAACACAACTTCCTTTATTAGTAGTCCTTATATCTGTGAAATAAAAAGGTAGCTTTGTTTTTGCAGATCAGGAAACATCCTTAAAAATGTATTAAGTTCTTTATATTGTTATTTTGGGGGCACTTGATATATTATGATATAGCAAAATCTGTAAGTCGTGGTTGCCAGAGAGAAAGAGGATAAAGGAGGACAAATATATGGTGATGCAAGGAGACTAGACTTCGAGTGATGAGCACATAAACGAGTCCACAGATGTCATATTAAAAAGTGGTACACCTGCCACAGCCAGGTAGCTCAATTGGATGCAGCATCATCCGGATGCGCCCAGGTTTCAGGTTTGATCTCTGGCCAGGGCACATACAAGAAGCAACCAATGAATGTAGCAATAAGTGAAACAACAAATCAATGTCTTTCTCTCTCCCCCTTCCTCTCTCTTAAAAAAAGAAAAATTGCCCTAGCTGGCTTGGCTCAGTGGATGGAGCATCGGCCTGCGGACTGAAGGGTCCCAGGTTCAATTCCGGCCAAGGGCACATGCCTGGGTTGCGGGCTCCATCCCCAGTGTGGGGTGTGCAGGAGGCAGCCAATCAATGATTCTCTCTCATCATTGATGTTTCTATCTCTCTCTTCCCTTCCTCTCTGAAATCAATAAAGAAATATATATTTCTTAAAAAGAAAAATCAATAAACGCCAATGCTTTTTTTTTTAAAAAAAAGTTGTACATCTGAAACTTATTAACCAATGTTACCCCAATAAATAAAATTTAAAAATGTAAATATGCCACCTTTGAACTCTATAAGAATGAAAACACCACAAATAGAATTTTCTTCCTTGTACTGAGAAAACAGTCCAGATGAGTCAACCAAAAACAGAATGTGAGATTGCTACAGAAGTGGAACAAATAAACTGCCTAAGGCAGGATCAGCTGATTGAGGAAGGAGGCAAAATAGCTTTAAAAAACAAAAGATAGACATCATATTTGCATAAATTCTTATGCACTTAGCAACTCTACTTTAAATCACCAAATGCCTAGACTCATAGGAGAAACATTAGGGAAGTTGTAACTTCTATACCCGTATAGGCTAAGACTGATAACAAGCAAAACAAGGACATTGAATTCTTCAAAGTTTTCTTATGACGTTTCAACAACAAAAATCTAGAAGTTCCTTCTCCAGAAAAAAGTGAACAGTGTTTTATTCTTGGGTGCTACAGTGCTGTCTTGGGTTAACCTGAAACCCAAGAACACAAGCTCTGTGTCACCAGCAATGACATCTGAGTTGGAGCTTCATTTTGTTTCCTGCCACAGAAGGCCAATTCTGCAAGAACAGGTATCATTTCTTCAATGCCATCAAGGACAAATTATGGTAGAAATAGTTTTTCCCAGCCCCCACAAAACCATAAAAGTCCTATACCCCAAACGGTCATTGTAATTAACATAGTGATGTGAATTAAAGTCCTGATGTCCAAGTTTCAGAGTGGGGGGGGGGGTAGTCTTCATGTACCTAAGTAACATGTGATGTGCAACCTTTCAGTGAAATTAGAACTTGGGTCTGGAGCGTATCAGTAAAACATAATCATTCTTGTAGGGTGGAACGTCTCCACTTTCACAGGTCATGTCTTCCCTGTGAATTTGCAGAGGGGATGGGGTGGGCAGAAGGAAAGAGGGAAGTTGCTTCCCAAACTCCCTGGTAATTCTTTGCATTTCAATCCCAATCCCCTGTCTTATTTATTACAGAAACACACACACACACACACACACAATCTTCTTTCCTACTCTTTACAGATAGTTACTCCTACCTCCATTCTTTAGGTCAAAAAAAAAAAAAAAATGACAGAACGAAGACAAATCAAAATGTTCAGAAAACACCCCACACATGTCTCTGATGCACTTCATCTAATGAACCTTCCAGGTTGCCCTGTGCCAGATGTGGGAATAAAAAACGAGAGTCCTTAAGGGGCTCACAGTTCAGCAGCAGCGGCCAATGGTACATCTTTTTTTTTTTAATATATTTTATTGATTTTTTTTACAGAGAGGAAGGGAGAGGGATAGAGAGTTGAGAGAAACATCAATCAGCTGCCTCCTGCACACTCCCTCCTGGGGATGTGCCAGCAACTAAGGCACATGCCCCTGACCGGAATCGAACCTGGGACCCTTCGGTCCGCAGGCCGGCGCTCCATCCACTGAGCCAAACCGGCTAGGGCTCTCCCAACCGGCCATCTGATGGCTTGGACAGCTCAACACCCACTCAAACGCAGAGGACAGGACGGCGCAGGGAGAAAAGGCCGCCGAGGTCTTTGAGCACGTGGAGCAGCACGAGGGTCTCCCCGCCGATCTCCCTTTCCCTTCCCGTCCGTCCCGGGGCGCGGGCCAGCCTCGTTCCTGGGATTCCCCGTGCACGAGCCCCTCGCCGGCTCCAGAAGCTCCGAACCCTCCCCACTCACCACATCCCGCTCAAACTCCTAACTTCACGCCGCCCACAGCCTGGCCCCACTCACCTGCTCAGGTTTATGTCTAGCTCCGCGGGGCTCCCTTCTGCCAATCCCCCTTTTTTGGGGGGGGGGTGGGAAGGGAGGTAGGTAGGGCGCGAGCCCCATTCCACGACCCACCCCGACTCCTCGGGCGGCCTCCACCCTGAGCAACCTCCACACACCGCTCCCTCCTCCCTCGGTCGCCGGGGCGCATCCCCCCCGGCCTTCGCCCCCCCCCGCCCCCCCGCAGCGGCAGGTGGGTCCCACCGTGTGATTTCTCACTTCGCCCTCCCCGCCCCCGCCCCCTGTCCATCTTCCCGGCCACCCCCGCAGCCAAGTCCGAGGAAGTCGCTTCCAGTTTGGGCACGAGAACCCCAACATTACACCTCGGGAAGACCGGGAGAGAAGAGGGTTTGGGGCGGTTGCGAAATATGGAAGAAGAAAGAAAGAAAAAAAAGGAAGGGAACGGAAAGGGGCCAGTCTCAGCCTCTCCTTCGGAAGGAGCAGCGAAAGGGCAGGGGGAGAGGAGGCTGCGAGAGATGCATTCCCGAGGGAGGACAGAAGAAACGCCAGGGGTTCACCCGTCTGGGGCCCCAGGGTTTACGCGAGGGCTTCCCGCATCATCCCAGGGAGAGAACCGGCTACTCCGTATGACAAAGAGGCTGCGAGCCGGGAGGTGACAGGCACGGCCGGGCATCTCCGCGGGTCGAGCGGTTAAGGAAGATGGACGGTCGGGGCCAGGACGCGCCCCCGGAGCCCCGCGGACGCGGTTGCCAGGACGGACGAGCCGGCGCCTCGGGAGGCTCCGGGGAGAGCGTCTGGGAGCATCGCTCCGCGGAGGCGGACAGGGTTGGCGTGGTATCGCCTCCCGCGGGGAGAAACGGCCTCCCGGGGCAGTGCTCTCCGAGACAAAGATCCTGCGACGCGAAGTGAACGCTCGGGGAGCCGGCATTGCCCAGACACCCGGCCGGGCTGCCCCGCGTACTCACCGCGTCCTCCTCTCCCGGCGCCCGCTGCTCTAACTGCAGTTAACGGCCGGGGCGGCGCAGGAGCGCTCGGCGTGCACGCTCACGTGACTCGGCCCAGGTTTCCCCGCCCCCTCCGCCCCACGTGACCCGCGCAGCCCGCCTCCCTAGTCCGGGGGGTCTCGACTCGCCCCGCCCTCCTCGGCAAGATGGCGGCGCCCAGCTGGGGCGTGCTGCGCCTCCGGGTTCGGGGTTCCGGGCGGGGTGGGGGCAGTCTCCTCTGTCTGGTCCCAAAGCCATTTTGTACCGCCGCTGCTGCTGCCTCTAAGCCCCTGGACGCCCAACGGTTAGCGGAGAAGCTCCGAGCCCAGAAACAGGAACAAAAGGCGAAGAAGGAGCCGGTGAGTCCGGAGGGAAAGACTACAATTCCCAAGAGGCAGTGCGCTCTGGTTCCCCCGGCGGGCGAGGGTCCTCTGAGAGAATGCAAGGAAAGGACCTGGTCGGTGGGGGAGAATGGGGAGAAAGCGGAGGGAGCGGTCTGCAGCGTGCGGTGCCTTCCTGTGCGCTGGTCTTTGGCTCCTGCGGGCTCGGCGCTAAGCAGCCCCGCTCTCAATTTACTGGGGGAAGGCGCGAGTCTTACTGCAAAGGTTCAGGGATGCCCTCCCTGCCCAGATGCCCACCCAGGCTTCTTGAAGGTCTTCCCCATCAGGCATTTCCCGTCGCTTTCTCTCTCCCCGTAGGAGCTCAAAAACCCTGTCCAGCGGAGAGTGCACGAACTAGTGCGGTTCACTCAGCAGCTGCAACGAGTCCACCCCAACGTGCTCGCTAAGGCCCTGAGCCGAGGGATTGTCCACCAGGACAAGGACCTCGTGGTCATCAATAAGCCCTATGGTCTCCCTGTGCATGGTAAGGACCGCGTGGGAAAGGGAGGGAGGCCGCTGCTGCTCTCTGCTACAATTAGGGGCAACACTCAGACATCACTTCCGGGGGGCTCGAAGCACCCTTGCATTCAAAATAATTTAAATGTTCATGGAGTACTGTCCTACCATATATAAGGCCCTATTGAGGAAACAGATCAATAAGACAGCTTCCAAACATCTGGCAGTCAGCAGTGATTTGTGGAATCCCTGGGCAGACCTCCACAGGGATTGTGTAGAAGAATATAAAGGCCGTGTGATTCTTGTCTTCAGGTTATTTTCCACCAAAACTGGGTGAGAGGAAATAACATATAAGAAAAAATTATATGGAGAGAGAGAGAGAGAATACCCCACAAAACAAAACCCCAGGGGACCTAGAACTTCATGGACACGCAAATGCTTTTGAGTAAATGTTGAATGTGTCTGACAACTGGAGTGAGTCAGGAAAGATGGAAAAAGAATGCGCTTGCGGGGGGGAGCGGGGGAGGCATCTTTTATTTAGAAGAATGCTTTCTGGAAGGTATGGAGAAGGTTGTACATGAAGGGAAGGAATTAAACCTTGCCAAGTGCTTCGTGTGGAAATTTTTCTCTGTTGACTTTCACGGTAGTTTCTTGTCTTCTCAACTCCCATGAGATAATTATAATACGGACATTTACATTTTGTAGATGAGAAGACTGAAAGTTAGAAAGATGAAGCAACCTGTCCAAGCTCATGGTAGTTAGGAGAGAACAGAGAGTGCAACCTAAGCATGTCTCACCCCAGCAACTCTCAGCTCTCCTGTGATGCTTCAGGAGGGCCTCAGGGTCTTACATTTCTCACTCAGCTTAGCAAATTCTCCAGCCTTTGTTTATATAGTAAACGATCAGGCCTCCTCGTTTTAGTTGCCGATTTTAGTGTGAGTGCATGTATAGTACATAAGGGGATTAAAGAATATTTGTATCTGCGGAGAAAGCCCTATCCATGCTCTAGGGTAGTACTTCTCAAAGTTTAATATCCATAGGAGTTACTTGGACATCTTTTATTTTTTAAAAAAGAATATATTTTGTATTGATTTCAGAGAGGAAGGGAGAGAGAGAGAGACATAGAAACATCAATGATGAGAGAGTCATCGATTGGTTGCCTCCTGCAGGCCTCCCACTGGAGACCAAGTCGCAACCCAGGCATGTGCCCTTGACCGGAATCAAACCTGGGACCCTTCAGTCTGCAGGCCTACAGTCTGTCCACTGAGCCAAACCAGCTAGGGCTGGACATCTTGTTAAATTGCAGATTTTTTAAAACAACTTTTTTATTTTATTGATTTTTTACAGAGAGGAAGGGAGAGGGATAGAGAGTTAGAAACATCAATGAGAGAGAAACATCGATCAGCTGCCTCCTGCACACCCTCTTCTGGGGATGTGCCCGCAACTAAGGTACATGCCCTTGACTGGAATCGAACCTGGGACCTTTCAGTCTGCAGGCCGACGCTCTATCCACTGAGCCAAACCGGTTAGAGCAAAATGCAGATTTTGATGGATAGTCTGGGCTGGGGGCCTGAGGTTCCTTTCTAGCAAGCTCCTTGGCATAAGGATGTTGGGAGTCCCTAGATAAGGCCCTGGGAAGCGTTGACAGTGAATCCAGTAAGGGCTTTCTTTCCCAAGCAGAGTTCTTTGGTGAGATCTTTTCCTGGCCACTCAAACCTCTGTCTTTTCCCATCGTAGGTGGCCCTGGGGTCAAGCTCTGCATCAGTGATGTCCTCCCTACCCTGGCCAAGGTGCTTCATGGCCACAAGGCAGAGCCCCTGCATCTGTGCCACCGGCTGGACAAGGAAACTACAGGCGTCATGGTGTTGGCTCGGGACAAGGAGGTGGCACACCAGGTCCAAGAGCTGTTTAGAACCCGTCAGGTGGTGAAGAAGTACTGGTATGGAGCCCGCTGATAGCGGTAGAGGCGGTGGACGTGAAGGCATCCCTTCTAGTCATGCATTCGTACAGCGGCCAGTCCTGTTAACAGGAGGCAGTGTGCTAGGACCTGTAGGCATTGGGAAGGTGTAGGAAGCAGACTTAGTGCTCTGATAGAGTAGTCGCTCCTAATAATGGCTATATGTGAAGACCATTGAAAATTAATTTATACAAGTAATACACGATTTCTGCGGTCAAATAGTCAAATGACAAAAATAAAGCCAAAAACTCCCGGAGAATCCATCCTCTCTGTCATTTTCTGTCCCTTCCCTTGGGGCAGTTTGCTTTTTATTCCTCCCGTCCTGTGTCAACATATTTATGTGTATGTATGTAGCATATACAGTATGTATGTATGTGTATCTACACACACACACACACACACGTATGTGCGCATGTGTATATGACATTGTACGACGTACATTGTACTTTCTTTTCCCACTTAACTCTGTGTCTTGGGGATCCTTCCATGTTAGTGCATACAGGGTTACCTCGTTTTTAATAGAAGAAAGATACAGGAGCAAACATGAAAGCTACTCCTGTCCCCCATCTCCTCGGCTTCCTTTTCCAGAGGCAGTCTCTATCGCTAGAGTCCTGAACGGACTTCCCGAGGTCACGGGGCATGGAGAAGCGTGTGACTGCGCGGCAGCGCATTTCGCATTGCTTGCATCCCGCCCTTCTCACGGGGACAGTGTATCTTGGAGAGCGTTTTGTGCTTTTAGACCTGGCTCCTCTATGGCTCTATCGTATGCCATGGTGTGGACATGCCATCATTTCCTCATTGCAGATGTTTAGGTAATATCCCACTTTCCAGACCTTTTGCGGAGAATATGTGAGTATATCTTCAGGACAAATTCCTAGAAATGGAATTGCTGAGGGGAAGGTACATACAGTTTAAATTTGAATGCTTAACTATCCCAATTGCTCTCCAAAATGGGTTTGTCAGCTTTCACTCTCTCCCCCAGGGGTGAGTGTTCACCTCCTCTCATGTCTGACCAAAGCGTTTTTAAAAGGATTCCCACTCAGATGGGTAAAAAACAAAATTTTTTTTAAAAAGGTGTTTTATTTTCAGTTTGCCTGTGTACTTTTTTTTATTGTTGGCAGTATTACAGAAACCCCCCCCATTTTCCCCCACTTGGGCCCCGTCCACCCAGCCCCCACCCCTCCCCAGGCCTTCACCACCCTATTGTCTGTCTTTCGAGTTTATTGTCTATTTTGAGTTTCCCTTTCTGTAAACAGACTTTATTTCTTTTGCTCACTTTCTGTTGGGTTGTTTATTATTTTCTACTTGATTTGTAGATATTCTTTTTGGGTGAGGTAATGCATGTGAAGTGTTTAACACAGTGCTGAGCTCATAGGAAAAGCTGAAAGATGGAAAACCAAGACTATTATTATGTATGCAAATAATCAAAATAAAAGTCTATAAAAAATTGCTATATTATTTGTGAAAATCGCCCATGAAAGTTCAGAATGGGTAACCATTCTCAGTAATAGGCTTCACAGAAGAGTTGAAATCAATTAATTGGGTCTTGATGAATGAATAGGATTTGATCAACAAGGTGAAGAAAGGTGTTGTAGATTGTGGGAATGGCAGGCACAAAGGAGTGAGGCATACAGTCCAGTCGGGTGGTGAGTGGTGGCAGATAGAGCTGGGAAGGTAGCCCAGAAGGTGCAGGAAGTAGAAGTTGCAAGTAGAACATAGGAACCATTGGCTAGCTTTTGCCGATAGCAGCTTGTTATATTATAGCTACTTGTTTGATTCTTCTTACTAGACTGTGAATTCCTTGGGAGCAGGGACTTCTGTCTTGTTCCTCTGCATAGAATTAGTACCTGTCTGAATCAGGGCCTGTTCGCATTCGGGGAATACTCACCGATTGGGCGTTTTTGAGCAGTGATGTTAGGTCATCAGGAAGGATGCTCTGGTAGTTACAACTCAGGCTTAAGTAGGATGCCAGGTGTCACAGCCGCCCCGACGGCTGTCAGCCTGACATGGGCGTCCAGGATGTGAAATGTTGTGTCTGAGTGGGCTTTGCCCCCTTGGTCAGTGACTCTGGGGTAGGCCACCTAGAACCAGGGGGCTCCTGTGATTGCCCTGGAGGAGGCTTGAGCGTCAGGACAGATTAAATAGCCCTCTGTCGGACTGTGACCGTGGCCGTGGCGTGGCCGTGGCCGTGACGTGGCAGGGAGAGGCCTCCGACAGACTGATCGGGAGGACTTACTGAGTTGTGGCTGTGGTTTCCGGGACTTCTTTGCGCACAGTTCCTCTCTGTCTTATCTGCCTGGCAAAGAGGGCAGGAATGGGCCTGCGAGTTTTTCGTTCAGCTCATTTATTTGTTTCATATGCGATCAGAACTTACCACCTTTTCTTATTTACAAAAAAGAGGATACGAAAACCACACTGATTTTACTTGAAACTGTACATACTCGTTTTGAAAGGCTGGCATGAAAGACCATGTTATCGGTATCATATTTTTCTGTTTCCCCTCCCATATATTCTACAGTGAACATACGTCCCTTGAGGAGGAAAAGAGCTATGCTGTAAGAAGAGTATCAAGCTCTCAGGCCAAGCCCTCTACCAAGAGATGGTTTGGGCCCCTCTGATCTTAGGCACGGACCACAGCAGGCCCGCTGTGCAGACCTCCAAGCAGCCAAATCCAAGGAATGCCTCGCCCACTCTTGTGTCCCCCCAGGGCCATCACCGTGCGCGTCCCCGTGCCCGCAGCAGGCGTCGTGGATATCCCCATCGTGGAGAAGGAGGTGCAAGGGCAGCAGCAGCACCACAAGGTGGGTGAGCCGCCTCCCGGGAGGACAGGTTTTCTGCTTGTCCGTTGAAATCACATCTGGATTTCTGTGGCTTCAGATGACGCTGTCCCCGAGCTACCGCATGGACAATGGGAAGATGGTGAGAATGCGGACCAGCCGGAGCGCGCACGTGGCTGTGACGCAGTACCAGGTGCTGAGCAGCACCGTCTCCTCCGCCCTGTTGGAGCTCCATCCTGTTACTGGTGAGGGTGCTGCCACTCCACGGTGGGAGGCGCCGCTGTCTGCAGGGTTCCCAGTGCTGCTGGGCTCTGCCCTTCTGAGCAGCTGGTATTGTGGGGGTGGAATTGCAGCTGACTTGTTGGAGAGGCTGGGAGCTCCAGGAGAGATAATAGTTAAAAACAGTAGGTAGCTGTCCGGCCGGCGTGGCTCAGTGGTTGAGCATCGACCTATGAACCAGGAGATCAGGGTTCGATTCCCGGTCAGGGCACAAACCTGGGTTGTGGGTTCGATCCCCAGTGCAGGAGGCAGCCGATCAGTGATTTTCTCTCGTCAATGATGTTTCTGTCTCTTCCTCTCGGAAATCAATAAAAATACATATTAAAAAACACAACAAAAAGCAACAACAGTAGGTAGCAACGAGACATAAGTAGTTTGTTTACACTTATTTAAACCAGCGCCAAGTGGCTCCTCAAAAAAATTAAGCATAGAATTACCATGTGATCCAGCAATTCTACCCCTGGGTACGCAGCCAAAAGAATTGAAAGCAGGGATTCAAAAAGATGCTTGAACACCAGTGTTCCTAGCAGCACTATTCACAGTAGCCAAAATGAAAGCATCCCAGATGTCCACTGACAGATGAATGGATGAACAGTGTGGTATATCCACGCAGTGGAATATTATACAGCCCTAAAAAGGAAGGAAATGCTGATATGTGCTGCAACAAGGAGGGACCTTGAAGGCAATGTGCTGAGTGAAATAAGCCAGGCACAAAAGGACAAATATTGTATGACTAGATGCCTGGTGCACAAATTTGTGCACAGGTGGGGTCCCTCAGCCTGGCCGGCAATTGGGGCCAATTGGGGCCATCTCTCCCAGTCCTGATTGGGGCAGCCGGCTCGGGGGAGGGATCGTGGGAGGTTGGCCGGCTGCAGGAGGTTGGCTATGGGAGCGCACTGATCACCAGGGGGCAGCTCCTGCATTGAGCGTCTGTCCCCTGGTGATCAATGCGCGTCATAGCTATCGGCCGACCAGTCGTAACAGTTGCTTAGGCTCATATATATATAGATTCCAGTGATATGAGATACTAGAGTAGTCAACCTAATAGAGGCATGGTGGTTCCAGGGGCTGGAGGGAGGAGGAGATGGGGAGCTAGTGTTTAATGGGTACAGTTGCAGTTCAGGATGATGCAAAATTTCTGAGATGGATGGTAGTGCTGGTCGTACAACAGTGTGAATATACTTACGGCCACTACGCTGTATACTTAAAAGTGTTCAAATGGTAACTTGTATGTTATATATATTTTGCCACAATAAAAAAAAAGTAAGACAATACTATTGTGTTATATAATAAAATTATTTTTTGAAAACCCAGCATGGCAGAGATAGGCACCAGGTTGATGCTAATGGCTATCTGTGGTGGAAAGGGGACTGTGACAGGGAGGGGAAATTGGGGGTGTAACAGTATTTATAATGTTTACCCCCTAATAGCTTATAGGTTGTTATATTGTTCTTTATACGTGAATGTAGTTAGGGCTTTGCCAGCTTACTGTGCTTTGAGTTAATGGATTAGAAGCAGATGCTGCCAGTGGCACCGTTTCTGTCGCCACTCACGAGTCTTCTCTCTCTTTTTCTTAAAGGAGTAAAACATCAGCTTCGTGTTCACCTGTCTTTTGGATTGGATTGCCCCATCCTTGGCGATCACAAGTACTCGGACTGGAATAAGTTGGCCCCCCAGGTAACATGGGTTTGACCCGAAATGTAGCCGACTGTGGGGCAGAACTTGGGCCTCCCCATGCGAAACCCCTAGTGAGTCACAGCAGGACGTACCCAGGGGCGCCAGACGCGGCAGCACCAGTTACCGGCGTAGGGAGAACAGGAGCAGCCCGCTGCTGCCCTCATGCCCTCACCGCCTCAGCAAACCTTGCTGCTGCGTGATTTGTCTCAGATTTGGGGTTTTTTAGAAACAATATATATTTTTAATGGTTTCAGAGAGGAAGGAAGAGGGAGAGAGAGATAGAAACATCAACGATGAGAGAGAATCATTGATTGGCTGTCTCCCCCACACCCCACACCGGAGATCAAGCTTGCAACCCGGTCATATGCCCCGACCGGGAATTGGACCGTGACCTCTTGGTTCATAGGTCGACGCTCAGCCCCTGAGCCACGCCGGCCAGGCAGGTCTCCGGTTTTGTTAGGAGGCGTGGGGAGAGGAGGCTCTCTGAAGGCTCATAGTCACCTTTCCTGCTGCTGCTTGTCCTGGTGCCCAGCCCATTCCGTGGAGGGCAGAGAACTGGCCGTTCGGGTCTCCCTGCTGTGGCGGGTGCTCCTACCTGGGTCCCCAGCCCTTCCTGTTGGTGCTTCTGCGGCAGGCTGCCACGCTGCCTCTCCCGGGGGTGCTCCTGTCCCGGCTTCCAGTGCCAGGCTGCTGACCTGCATTGGGTCAAGGGTGCACTGTTGCTGGCGCCGCTCTCACGAGGCGTCTGTTCTCTGTGCAGAAGCTGTCTGCCGGCACTCTGCGGAAGCTGGGGCTGCCACAGTCGAAGGCCCGCCACCTCCCTCTGCACCTGCATGCCCGCCAGCTCGTCCTGCCTGCCCTGGGGTCCAGGACCGAGGAGCTCAGCCTGGTCTGCAGGCTCCCTCGCTACTTCGTACGCTCTCTGAGCCGCCTGGGCTTAGAGCTGCCGAGTCAGGATCCAGACGAGCAACAAAGCTGAGCCTCTGGGAGCTCAGGGGAGACACCTGGGCCCCTGGGAGACGCCCGGGCCCCTGGGAGCTCAGAGGAGACACCTGGGCTCTGGGGAGACGCCCGGGCCCCTGGGAGCTCAGGGGAGACACCTGGGCCCCTGGGAGACGCCCGGGCCCCTGGGAGCTCAGAGGAGACACCTGGGCTCTGGGGAGACGCCCGGACTCCTGGGAGCTCAGGGGAGACACCTGGGCCCATGGGAGACGCCCGGACCCCTGGGAGCTCAGGGGAGACACCTGGGCTCTGGGGAGACGCCCGGGCCCCTGGGAGCTCCAGGGAGACTGCTAGACAGTGTGCACTGGCCCTGAATTCTTCCCTTTGTTGAATGGACGTGGCTAACTTCTCCCATGGGACAGACTCCAGAAGAGCCAAGTGAGGAGTTGAAGGACCCCAGCTGCTCAGGGCTTTTACTGGAAACGGAAGTGTATTTTCTGATACTGGGCCACCTTCTGGGAAAGCCTGTGGGAAGTCTCCCTGCCTCGGGGTCATCTTGCTAAAATGGAAGAGAGCCCAGGACCAGGCAGGTGGGGTCAGTAATCGGAAACGGAGAACTGCAGCACAGAACCTGTGAGCAGGCACTTTTCACCCAACAATAAAGCTCTTGGTCCACCAGGAAGGCTCCTGTGGTTGGAAGGCGCGTGGTTGGTACTGACGGACGGAGAAACTCAGAAGCAGCCCGTCACTCTTCGTGGAGCTGCGGGACCATGAGCAAGTCCTGCCTCGTTTTCTGTCTCAGGTTTTGTAGACACAGAATTCCGAGATTCCCTCCAGCTCCAGCCTGTGAGCCATGCTTCACCAGTGGTCGTGGAGCCCAGGACGGGTGCGTGACAGCAGGAAAGCGAATAGAAACGCAGGCAGATAACAGGAAGGAGTGGCGTGGGCAGATGTACACGTGGCGAGGGCACACACGCTGTCTGAAGAGGGCATTTGATGGCTCCATCCGGGTGTGGCTGTGTGGCAACAGCTGTTATAATTATTTCAGAGTCAGGAAATCCAGATGTTTATGTGAAATCTCCCTGTATGTTGCTAACTAAAGCAATTTAAAAGTATATTTTTATTGATTTCACAGAGGGAGAGAGAAACATCGGTGATGAGAGAGAAACATTAATGAGCTGCCTCCTGCATGTCCCACCCTGGGGATCGAGCCCACAACCCGGGCATGTGCCCTGACCAGGAATTGAACTGTGACCTCCTAGTTCATGGGCTGACACTCAACCACTGAGCCATGCCAGCAGGCCAGGCTTTTTGTTTTGTTTTTAGATTCCATATAATAAGTGAGTTCCTAAGATAAATTTGTCGTTCTCTCTCTGACTTATTTCACGTAGCACAATGCCCTATTTTGTTTGAAGAAATATCCAAGACTTTTGCCCATTTTTAAAATTATTTGCCTATTTATTATTAAGTAGTAGGATTTCTTTATATATTCTGAACACCAGTCCCTTAACCAGATATATTACTTGCGAATATCTTCTTCTGTGGGCTGCCTTTTCACTTTCCTGATTATATTATCTGCAACATGAAGGTTTTAAATTTTGATGTAGTTTATTTTTTCCTTTTTGTGGGTTGTGCTTCTGGTGTCAGACCTAAGAAAACATTGCATAATCCAAAGTCTTGGAGATTTCCTCCTATATTTTTTCTAGTAGTTTTTTAGTTTTAGCTTTACATTTAGGTCTACCATCCAGTTTAAGTTCATTTCAGTGTATGATGAAAGGGTCCAAGTTTGCATGTGGGTCTAGCTGTTCCAGCACCAGTTATTGAAAAGGTTATTCTTCCCCCCATGAAATTTTTTGGTAAGCTGACATTTTTTAAAAATTAATTTTTATTGATTTCAGAGAGGGAGGGAGAGAGATAGAAACCTCAATGATGAGAGAGAATCACTGATCGGCTGCCTCCTGCATGCCCCACACTAGGGACCGAGCCCACAACCCAGGCATGTGCCCTTGATCGGAATCGAACCTGGGACCCTTCAGTCCACAGACTGATGCTCTGTCCACTGAGCCAAACCAGCTAGGGCAAGGTGACATTTTTAGGGTTGTGCTGGGTTGAATATACATAATTTCATAGGGCACATTTTAGTTTTATTACAGTATTAATGTGAATGAAGCCAAACAAGAAATAACGGTAGTTCCTGGTCTGGCCACGAGATGGCAGCAGCCTCCTAGGTTTGATCCCTTTTCTTGGGGAGCTACTCTAAGTGGGACTAGGTTTTAGCAAGTATAGGGTATCCTACACAAAAGGATTGGGCTGTCTTTCTCTAACCTCCTCATGACCCTGACTTCGGCTACCCCAACGAAGTCAATTTCGGTCCCTACTTTTTTAGTAGAAAACTTGTAGTTTTCTGTTCTCTGGTGGAATGAGGTAGTAGGGCTTCCCCATGGTGGTTTGGATTTGAAATAGAATGTGACTCACAAACACTCAGCTGTAAAAGCACTACACGTTCATGATAGGAATGTGGACGCATAATCAAGCTGCTCTCAACTATCAAAAAGCCTCATGGACAGATGCACTTACTACCACAGCTTCGCTAAAATGCCAAGAGTTCTTAGCGCTGGGCTGGTTTTATTTGGGCTCAGTGTAGTAATGATTTCCATTCCATCTGTTGGTCAGAAGCACTGATCGATAGTTGTGATCTTGACTAATTTTCAGGCCGAAATATTATAGAATAAATAATGGAGGGAAGATAAGGGTGACTAGTTTGGAAGCCACAATGTATTAGAGTTGCAGCAAACGTGCGTCTGCTGGCGCCCTGCCCTTCTCCATCCTTCCTGGATGGTGCTCACCCAGGGCAGGCTCGTCCTGCCTCCCGCTGGACTCCGCTGCTCCCACAGCCTTTCTGACGAGGATTTAGGCGTCCTCGGCCCTCACCTCTCACCCCCCCCCCCCCCCCCCTGCATGTGTGGGCCTCTGACCCCAGTGACAGAGCTAACTGCACACCCCCTCTCCTGACACAACTACCCAGCCTGCCGTGGGGAGCTGTGAGGGTGGGGTCAGGGAAGGGGTGGGCAGCAGGGGGGCAGCCTCCCCCACACAGAGATCCAGGCGAGGCCAGCGCTGAGCGAGGAGGCTCTGCTAGCCTGTCTTTCAGCACTTGGGAGCTGTTCCCATCCGTCCATCAGCAGCCTCCAGGAGCCAGGAGTGATGACCTGGACCCATTCAGGGAGCAGAGCACGGGGAGCGGGCCCCCACTTTGATGTGAGCCGTGAGATCGGCGGCGAGGGAGCAGGAGGTGAGGGCCAGGGGGAGGGTTGCCCAGATAATCTCCTCTCCCATCACAGGCTTCCAGGAGCAAAGACGCCAGCCTGTCCTCTCCCCTCTGTCACTGCCCTTTCCTGGGCCCTCTGATCTCCCCACCCAACCAGGCTGCTCCGGGCCCCTTGTCCCAAAACTCCAGCCTGTGTGCTGACTGTGGCCCCATCACCTGCTCACACACCTCTCTGGAGGGGGAATGAGGGACATGGTTGGAGGGGTGGCTGGGGACCAGGGGTGCTGGCAAGAGAGCCCCTGGGGCGGGGCCAAACCATCGACTTCATTCTAAGGGGTGTACGGTAGTTACTTCATTCAGGAAACTCCCAGATCTGAGAGCCAGGAGAATTGTCCCTGTGCAATCAGGAATCTCAGTGTGGGGAGGGGCCTCTCTCTGCCTTCGTTGCTAACAGGCAGCTGCCAAGGACTCACAGCAAGGAGCCCAGCATCTCCTGGGGTTCCAGCCTCGCTGCTGGAGGGAGAGGAGATGGAGGACGAGGACAGATGGACACACACACACACACACACACACACCCCAGGGCCTCCTTGAGCCAGGCCTGAGAGGCTGCCAGCCCATCCTGGCCCAGCCGGGAGTCTGGCCTCTTTCCTGTCTAAAGTTACAGAATTTTCCAGAAGTTTCCCTGTTTGGTTTTCTTTTTCTGGAGTTATAAACCAGATTTCCCCATCCTCCCCCCACCCCCTTTTCTGACCTAGGGAAGAAAAGCCAAAGAGGGAAAGATAGGGCAGGACAGAGGGCCTCTGAGCACACCCAAGGCTAACCCTTCCCTTCCCCGCTCCTGCACTGGGGTTCCAGGAACTTCATGGGAACAGTAGCTTCAATAGTCAACGTGTGTTGCCCATGCCGAGCCTCTTAGGTGTATGAGCTCATGAAGCTCCCAATCCCAGCCTGTGACTACCAGCCGTGGGCAAACTACGGCCCGCAGGCCGGATCCGGCCCGTTTGAAATGAATAAAACTAAAAAAAAAAAAAAGACCGTACCCTTTTATGTAATGATGTTTACTTTGAATTTATATTAGTTCACACAAACACTCCATCCATGCTTTTGTTCCGGCCCTCCGGTCCAGTTTAAGAACCCATTGTGGCCCTCGAGTCAAAAAGTTTGCCCACCCCTGCTCTAGACCATTGTTCCTAATTGTCATTTCTGAGTTACAGACGAGGGCCAGGAAACCCGAGCTTTCATTGGGTGACGTAGCAGAACTAGGTTGTGACCCAAGCCTGGCTCTCTTTGCAGCCTTCCTGTTACCTCCGCTGCCCCCAAGTGGCCCAGGTGACCTCGTGCAGCCGTCCCAGATCACACTGCGGCCCTGAAAGGAGAGCGAGGTGTGTGCCTGGAACGGGAGCCTCTCACAGAGGGAGCCTCGCACAGAGGGGAGCATCTCACAGAGGGGAGCACCTCACACGGGGGAGCATCTCACAGAGGGGAGCCTCTCACACAGGGGAGCACCTCACAGAGGGAGCCTCGCACAGAGGGGAGCATCTCACAGAGGGGAGCACCTCACACGGGGGAGCATCTCACAGAGGGGAGCCTCTCACACAGGGAAGCCTCTCACACAGGGGAGCCTCTCACACAGGGGAGCACCTCACAGAGGGAGCCTCTCACAGAGGGGAGCCTCTCACAGAGGGGAGCACCTCACAGAGGGGAGCCTCTCACACAGGGGAGCCTCTCACACAGGGGAGCCTCTCATAGAGGGGAGCACCTCACAGAGGGAGCCTCTCACAGAGGGGAGCCTCTCACAGAGGGGAGCACCTCACAGAGGGAGCCTCTCACAGAGGGAGCCTCTCACAGAGGGGAGCCTCTCACAGAGGGGAGCCTCTCACACGGGAGCACCGCACAGAGGGGAGCCTCTCACAGAGGGGAGCCTCTCACAGAGGGGAGCCTCTCACAGAGGGGAGCCTCTCACACAGGGGAGCACCTCACAGAGGGAGCCTCTCACAGAGGGAGCCTCTCACAGAGGGGAGCCTCTCACAGAGGGGAGCACCTCACAGAGGGAGCCTCTCACAGAGGGGAGCATCTCACAGAGGGAGCCTCTCACAGAGGGGAGCCTCTCACAGAGGGGAGCACCTCACAGAGGGAGCCTCTCACAGAGGGAGCCTCTCACAGAGGGGAGCCTCTCACAGAGGGGAGCCTCTCACAGAGGGGAGCACCTCACAGAGGGGAGCCTCTCACACAGGGGAGCCTCTCACACAGGGGAGCCTCTCACACAGGGGAGCACCTCACAGAGGGAGCCTCTCACAGAGGGGAGCCTCTCACAGAGGGGAGCACCTCACAGAGGGAGCCTCTCACAGAGGGAGCCTCTCACAGAGGGGAGCCTCTCACAGAGGGGAGCCTCTCACACAGGGGAGCACCT